TACAGATGCATCCATGAAGAGTCGCCAGTTCTCTGGATTATAACCTCCTTGCACTCCATATAAACTGATGAGATGCTTTATATCGTTGCAGTAAACAAGGTTATCCACGCAAGTAAAATATGGCCGAAATTTAATATCTCTCTTCCTGTAAATAGAAACTTTTGTCTCAGGTAATAAAAGATTTCTTTCTTTTAGTCTTGAAGCTAAGAGTTCTGAAGAATCTTTCGGAAGATTCAAATCACGGATCAGATCATCCAAAGAATTTTGGTCGAAAAGTTTGGGCTTTTCTGAGTCAGAAAAATCTTCTTCATTACTACTGCTGCTTTTGTCTGTTACCGGAACTTCTATTGGTTGAAGTTTTTTTGGCTCAGAATCAGAATTTTTTTTTCTTTCTATTTTTCCATACTGAGCTGCTGTAACACTAGAAACGTTCGGATAAAGGAGAGAAGCTTTGTTATTATGATTAAAACCTAAAGTATCACATTTACAAAAGTAACAGTCATCATGGTGATTTTTAGGTTCACGCCATATTGTTGGTTGGAGAACAACTTCGGTTTTAGTTTAATTTCAGTTTTTCAAACTTCGGCGACAGTCTTCACAAATATATTTAGGAACCCATGGTTTGTCTAAATTCTTCATAGGTGTCTCGTAACATTCATCAAACTGATCTTTAATGATATCAGTGATTGATCGACGAAGTCAAGCTACCTCAAATTTACCGCAGATATTACAAAAGGAATCGATTTTTCCTTTGCACGGAATTCTACATGCCGACATCTTTAATAACTTATAAGTTAATTGAAAATCACGAGTAATATTATAAACTTATTCTAATAACGAAATGGGTAAATATAATTAAATTTCTAGAAGACAAAGTAATAATAATGATCAGTAAAAGTACTGCACGCAGTGTTATATGAGAAATGATAGAAAGTATTTGATTCCAGTGACTTCTCCGTTAGCCTGCCGCTCAAACACGATCTCTAACACGGATGAAGAGTAGAACACAAAAACTTGGAGTTTTCGAGCAGTGTTAAAACTCGAATAATATTATAAACTTATTTTAATACCGGAATGGGGTAATGATAAAATTTCTGAAAAATGAAGTTATAATAAAAATCAATGAAAGTACTGCACGCAGTGTTGTACGAGAAATAATACCAAAAATTTAATTCCAGTGACTTATCCGTTAGCCTGCCGCTCAAACACGATCCCTAACACGGATGAAGAACGAAGCATAAAAATTTGTAGTTTTTGAGCAATGTCATACACGGTTATCCTCAAGTAAGGAAATGTAGGTCCTAAATGAATCTGATATCTGCTAACGTAGAACTTTCTTCATCGTTAGTAGACCAGAAAAATGTAAGATTAAAAATCCTAGCTGATCGATTTCGCAAGTTATAGACACTTGTATGTAAACGTAAATTGTACTTGTATACGTAAGTTGGATATGAATTTTCCTATCACAGACACAAATTCTTCTACCTTCTTTTACCGCAGAAATGACGTCTATCGTTGTTCCATTGACCCAGCGGTATTCCCCGTCCAACAAACCCGAATTTCTTTAACCCTCGATAGGGCCGGGAGTTATAGCTTCGCAGGTTAAAGGCTTGAGGGTTAAGGAAATTGGGGTGTGAGGGTTGGGGGTTATACCGCAGCAGGTTAAAGGGCTAGAGAGTTAAGGACTTTGGAGTATGTCGGTCAGGAGTTACAGCGTCGCAGGTTATGGGGCTCTAGGGTTAAGGGAATTGAGATTATAGAGTCATTCTGACGTTAAATTTGGATTCAGTGACACAAAAAACATATAATTACACTATAACTCCATATTCAGAAATTCGCCACTATTTCGTGCTATAACGAAATCGCTAAATCACTCAAATTCAATCTACGATATCTCGATGGAAAATAAAAGATTTTTTAAATCTGAAAAAAGGGTTTTGAAGGGTAAGAGTAGTACTTTGAGATAGCATTACTCGTTTTTTTAAATAAAATTGGCTTACGACGTAATACTACGCGAAATATAGTGAAAAATCGTGTTTTTTGAACTTTTAGGTTAGGATTTCTCGAAAACCTAGGGTGATGGAGCAATTCTGAGGTCAGATTCGGTTTCAGCGCACCAAAAACGTTTGGGAACGTACTATCTGGTTTCTGGGTTTTTCCATTTTTTAAATTTTGTCGGCCTGTGTAATATTTACAATAAATCTTAATATTCTATCCTAATATAAGATTACACCCACAATGAGTTATGCTTCGGATCCTTGTTCAGGCATTAATTTGTAACTTATTATTGGTAAGTCGGCGTTGTTTGAGACCCGAAGTTCTCGCGGATTCAGTATAATGGACCAGGATAGTTAAATGGATTTCCGTCAAGCGAACGAACAGCCTTGTCGATTGCGTCGGGAATTTTTAAGTAACTGGATTAAGGAAATTCTTATATTTTGTATTATTATGCTCGTACGTATTACCGGTTAGAGTAATGTATCGGAGCACAATATTCTAACTGCCTCCATTTTGGCCCAATAGGATAGGATATTTTACGATTATTTAAACGTGATTCTTCTCGTTTAATGACGAAGTCTAATCGCACGTTAGCAGAGTAATCCACCATCGCTGGGATGGCCAAAATGAGAGTACGCCACCAAGCTCGTCCGCTCTTATATATACTATCTTCGCGTGCGATTCTTATTTACATTTTTCCCTAAGCCTATTATAAATCTACGAACTACGGCGGATCGTTGCTGTCTTAATCGTATGTTTGTATTACCTAGTTTGTCTGAGTGTATGTTACAAGACCAAGCCGAAAGGACGCAAGAATATTAAAAAGTTAGTCTAATTTGAAAAGCGTGATCAAAGTGGCCAAATTTAAATGGTCCAAGAATAAATGTGCGCGCAAAGTTATCAGTTCTGCTTTCAAAAAAGCTCGTACAACCGATAAAAAAGCCGGTGGAAAAGCAAACATCAACGTACCACGAATTCTGCCAATACAAACTAAGATGGGTAAAACTTTGTCCTTCCTTATACCATTTTTGCAGGCCTGAGTGCAACTGATGCTCTAGCTGGCAGCACCGCGGGAATCGCAAAAGCTGTGAACGATGCAAGATCTGCAAAACAGTAATTGAAAGAGAAAAAGAGATACAACAAAACGACAGAGGCCATTACTCTGGGAAACAGTTTGTATCTCAAACCTTATAAAAAAGGCTATGAACTTTATCTTAAACCTTATCTGGAATGAGGTTTAAAAAAAATGTTTCAAATAAATCTACCGGATAGAGCCCTCACAAACACTGGCTTGATGAAGTATGCAAAAATTTTGAATATACCAAAGTTTCGGGGAGTCTTCATGAGAAATGACTTACTGAGTTTTGAACCATATTATCACGAATTAGCTATAGTCAATATTGATGACGTTATAGGAACAGGGACGCACTAGGTGGCTTATCGGAAAATCGGAAATAACGTCGTATATTTTGTAGCTTTAGAGATCTTAAGCCACCTGTTGATTTAAAAATGTATCTTGGTGATATCGAGATCAAATACAATACAAAGATATATCACAATACTTATGTATATATTTATGTAGATATTTATAGATTTATATAGATATTTCAATACTTATGTATAAGGTCATCTTTGTTTACAGTTTTGTGTGAGGTATAAAAGTTAAGGCAATGTGAAAATATTGGTAGTCATGTTCGGACAGTCATAGAAGATTCTTTAACTCTAACTCTCTCAGGTAATTCTTCACAGTTGAAAACGCACTATTTCTCACCAATCGAACTATCATAGCATAAACATTACAAGTTGGGCTTAGTCGAGGTCCTAACGTTCAACTCAATACCTAATACTGACGCACATAATAATAAATTTTACGTCGCATATCAAGTTAACAACATATCTGTCTAGACCTACGAGATCGACGACATTGATAAATTTCTTCGTAGACTTGTGAAGCGTCTCAGCACTGATAATAATATAACATTAAATTTGAAACCAAACAACAACACCTTGCATTGTACAATCAAGTGTTCTGAACTTGTCGATTTTCGACCGTAGAATTCTATTAGACGATTGTTGGGTTTTTCATAACGTATATTAGAAACTAACGTTTCTCAAAACTCTGATCTTCCCATCAGTATTCTCAATGTGAACGCCGTAAGAGTCCAGTGTAACATAACCGCTAACGCTTACTTGAACGGAAACATTGTTCACGATATTCAAGAATTTTTTCCGACAGTACCGCCTTGATATAAAATTATTGAAATTCCCTCTCACGAAATTTATCTTCCAGTTACGAAAAAGTCTGTAAATTATTTACAACTATGCATCATTGATCAAAATGGAAATTTAATTAAATTTTGTGCTGAAATCATAACCATCAGATTACACTTCAAAATCCCATGATGGGAATTGTTTATAATTCAAAGAGTGGTAGGAGCTATATAAGCACTAAAAAATACAAACTCTCCATCAGTTGTTATTGATTAAGATCTCCAAAAATATATATAGCTATAAAAATATGTTTTCTATATAAAACAAATGTATTGGCTACTAGTGATTTGTACGAGCTGAAAGCACATGAATTTAGTCGAGCTTAAGCCGTGTTGGTAAGTTGCTATTGTACTGTAAATCAACAAGTTTTGGAATTGCATGAAGCTTTACTTATATCGTTTTCTACACGATGTTTTCATTTTAGGATTATAAAGTCAAAGTTTTATTTAAACGAAGAAAACAAATAAGTAATAGAATAAATATTGATAATTTTGAATATAAGTTCCTTTCTATTAAATAAAATATCATAAATTTATCAATCTTTATTAGTAAATTCATATTTTAGTTTAAAGAAGACCTTGAGAGATACTTATTTGGATTTCGCTATTATCATACATAAATATTAGAATAAATCAAAAGCGTTGCATATAAAATTTTAGGTACAATCCTTAGTTGAATGATAATATCAGATAAAAGTCTGATTATCTTATGAATAGGAATAATTTGCTTACCTCTATTGTATGAACTATTGTCGATAACTGTATGACTATTTCGAATCTGCGAATTGGGTTGTTGCGGTTGTTGTAGGCGGCATTCCTTGGTTGGCGAGGAATGAATCGGTTCTTGAATTTGTAGTCGTGCAAGATGGTCAAGTAAAACTTGAAGGTGTTGGTGGTTAGTAACATCTGAAGCAGAAGTGTTTGCTTCGCCAGTATTTATACCAGACGTAAAAGACTTTATAAAAGGTTCAAGTTGTTGTGCAAATAACTGCAACTGCTTCAGTTCTCCTTTTAATGATAGAATATCGTTCATCTGCAAATGTTACCATAAGATATTTCTGAACTATTTCATGAATAAATAATAATTAATTCGCTGCTATCTAACGTATAATTATCTTGAGAAAGAATGGAGTTAAAATAAATTTTAATTATAATTATCTTATATGAATAAATCAGAATACAATTAAAAAGTTCAAATTATGTACTTTCTAATTTTTACCTTAGAATTTATCAAGACAATAAGATTTTAAAAATAATCTATTGATCGTAATTAGTTTTATAACGCAATTTTTATTTAAAAAAAATTTCAATTGCTCACATAATCTAAAGAAATCTAAATATAGCAGCGCAGAGTAGGCTGCTACAAGTTGTTGGGAAATTTGATCTGGTAGTAGAAGATCTACTTCTAACATATTTCATTTTAATAGGTCTTTGGAGGATGCTATATAGTCCAACTAGTAATTTTTGCAGCATCCTAAAATAGTAAGAGCGGTAATTCGAGATAACAAACAGAAAAAAAAAAGAAAAAATTCAAAGCTTACTTCAACCAACTACATCTGATTCTATTACGCCAATGTGTTGCCCGGCCTCTTCAGAGCGTGTGTATGTTGTCATCAAATAATAATCGTCGATTATTAACACGTTGAGCGCCACGCGTATTTCTAAAACAATCCCGTTCAGGCCACGATGGTTGACGCGGCCTAAACGGAAAGTCTAGTGTCAGCCACCGATGGTTGACGCGGCCTAAACGGAAAGTCTAGTGTCAGACACCGACGGCTGATGTGGCGATCAACGTGTTAAGAGAATAATAACATTTTTTAAGCACTCTCTTTTATTACTCCCTTATTATCTCTTAACGTTCGACGATTATGTGATCTAATTGACAATGTGCATACAATCTCATAAAGCCGAGCAACTCACCGGTAAAACGTATTCAGATGATATTTGTTTTCTTTTTCTTCATATCGTGACTCAAATTTTAATGTTAATTTTAAACAAATAGTAAAAACGGTAGCAGATGTGTTGGATTATAAAGAAATCAATTGTGAGTATCAATCATAAAAATTATGTGTATGTGTATCACTGTGTGTGTGTTGTGTGTCCGCATGCACGCGTATGTGTGTGCTTGCATGCGCGCGTATGTGTTTGGTCGCATGCATGCGTATGTGTGTACATGTGTATTTAATAGATTTAAAAGGAAATTTCTGGATCTTCAGAAGATAGATTTGAATGAAATTAAAAAAATCCCATATAAAAAATTAAAATACTCCTGTTTCAAAAATCTATCAAATAGATATAGTTTGGAATTAAAGAAGATTTATATCGGAAATATTGAAAAATTAAGTTTTTGTTTCATCCTTAATTACTTGAAATAAAGTCTTCCATAATTTGAAGGTTATCAAGAAAAATGCTTGAAACCAAATATAGTACATACACCGAGGTTCCAATTCTCTTGCGCTTTTCAGAGTAGTGCCAGGAGAATCAAATCTAATTAACTTTAGAGGGCAGAAAACTGAATAGTAGTCTATGAACGGGTAGATAGTATAATCAGTTCTTGTCTTGTACTTGGCTCTTCAAGTCAGTAATGAAGCGTTAAGTAAGTGAATAACTCGTAAGAGAGATTCAGAACATCGCTGTACTTTCGAATAATTGTAATTCGTTACCATTTAAAATACGTTGTTCAAATGTAGCGAATTATTAGAAAGCCGTTTATAAATTTATAAATTAAATTTTCAGTAAATTATAATAATAATAATTATTATTATCAAATATCAGATTAATTTTTAATCAAATCTTTTTTGAAAGTACTCATAATTTAGAACAGTTGAATATTTTTGAACCTAAAATTTTTTCAAACTGATAGATTTATGCAACTGCGTTTCTTTCTTTTTCTCTGTTACTTATTCTTAAGGGGACCTTTCAATATGACGGGTTGAAAAAATCGATTTTTTTTTTTGCATTTTTCGATAGTATTTACCTCCAGAATTGATGTCCCACAGGCGGTTTGGTCGAATTCTACCTTATTGACCGATTTTACTGCTTCAAAAGTGAGAGCGTACCGCGTTCGCTACCTGCACGCGTTTTTCTCAAAACCACTTTATTGTAACTGGCGTGCACGATAACTTAAGAACGGTTGATCGTATCAGTAGTATAGCAATGTATGTATGGGGTCTGTAACCCTTTGGCTCCACCGGGCTTAACCCTTTGCCCCCCTGGCTTAACCCTTTCATGTTAATAATAATTATTATTGTTAACAATTAATATTAACAATATTCGTGGGGGTCCCTGGTTTAACACTTTGATTCCCTGGCCTCTAACCCTTCCATGTTAATTATTATTATTAATATTAATAATTGTTTTAAATTTTTGAGGAAGGTTTCTAGGGCTCCTAGTCCCTAGGGCTGATAGTCCCTAGGGACCCTATACCTAGTGCTTTCAGTCTAATTAAATTTAAATGTTTTTTTTTTTTAAAGTTATAAATATATATTATTAACAATTTACTTGCTACATTGAGAATGAAACGAATAGAAAATAGCGACGATTTTTTGAAAAAAATGAAGAAACAGACCGGAGAATCGAACCGGAGTCCTCTGGGTTGGCAGGCTAGCGTTCTACCACTAGAGCCAATGCCACATGTACCTTGGAGGATGCATATTGTGTATATTAGCTACACACGTATACATTTCGTATAGGGCCTGAGCGTGCGGAGGAGGAGGGGAGCGCATGCTGTCTATAGTTCTGGCCTGATGGGGATGCGCTACTATAGTAGTAAACGCATGCTCTCTCTTTCTCTCTCTCTCTCTCTCTCTCTCCTTCGCTCTAACTCAGCGTGGACCATAGTGCGTGGAGGAGGAGGGGAGCGCATGCTGTCTATAGTCAATACGTGCTCTCTCCACGAAGGGAACTGTTTTCGTGAGAATGTTAGAGACTACGAATGCAGTCGCTCGACTGACACCTCCTTGAGATGTTCCTCCTAAATATCTCTGCTAGGAGAGAACCTTATTCCCATCCGTTCACCCTTACTTACAATCGTTATGATTATTTTACTATTTAAATAAGCACATATTTATTATTTATTTAATATTTATTATTTTTAATTATACATTGAATAGAGTACACTTTGTCTATAATCTTTATGTTCAGTGTCTGATATAGCTATTTTTTAATATTCAGGTGAATTTTTATATGAATTATAGTCATCTGTAAATCTTTCGACTGTGTCGATCCCTTTTGACTTTGCTTCTTTTTGTCTTTCCATCATCCAATCGTGTATCTTTTGTGTATTTACTGCAGCACATACTATATTCTCGCGATTTTGACTATGATATATGCATGATGGTTTAAATTTAAGACTTAAATCTTCCAATCGCGGACATCTCATTTCAGTTTCGATATCTAAAATATTTCTGTAATTAAAAAAAAAAACTAATTAAATTCGAATTTAGAATTTTGTACTATTGTATATTATTTGAACCTACTTTTCAGGAATAATTTTTTTGAGCCATTGCTTCCTTTGTAATCCTTTCACATAAATATTTCTACAATTTTGTAAATAACTACGTATAGTACAATTTAAAAAATTATATGGTAAAATACCATTTCTCCATAATATACCTATAAAATTGATTATATTAAATATTTCAAATAAAATCATTGTTAATTACTGATAATAAAAATAAATACCAAGATGATGTAATTCCAACCACTTATTAACACTTTGATATTCAATAGACAGTTTGAGCCAATGATATGGAGGTTTAAAAAGTAGTACTGTAGGTGAAGTATTAGAACATACTGGTAAATAGGCAAACTTCTTACAAATAAAAGTATTATTAGGACTCTGAAAGCCTTGAATATCTAAAATATAGTCCATCTTAGAGTATAAATCCCATTATTCTCTATAATATGTGAGCTGAATCGTATCTCAAAGCAATAATGACTATATTTTTATTCTGATTGTAGGCAGCGCCCTCAGTTTGCTGGCAGCGCCCTCAGTTTGCTGACAGCGCCCTCACTTAACCTTTAAAAGCCGCTTTGGCCTAGCAGAAGAGCGCAGTCTCTCGAGACAGCCTGCGAGCTAAGCTTGCCTTACCTTACGCCATTTGCAAGTAGTTCCTCAGTAGTTAGTTGAATCCTTATTGATTTGTTAAACAAATCAATATTCATTACTAACTGAGAACAAGTTCAATTTAGAGCTGTTCACTACCTTTTCCATCCTTTCATCATAATAATCCTTTATACAACTATAGACAAGTGACTGTACAAGACAATAAAAACTAGATAACTAACAACATGACTTCTATTGCCTATTTTGAAGAAACAATTAAAAATTTATGGAAAGCTTATAACCATTCGAACGATTTAGATATAGACAATTGTATTAGATGGAGAAATCTAACAGTTAATGCTATAATTTCAATTAATGAATTTATGAAACGATCTGATTTAAGTAGAGCAATTCGACAAAGGTGTCAAACTTGTGCTTGTCATTTGAATTCTATTGAAGTCAATTTAAGTAAAACTATAAAAGTTGGTGGAAGTATACAACCATTAACAGCTATTCAGGATGAAATTCTAGGAGATGGAGTTGTTTGGAGACCAATTCATTCAGCCTTTGAAAATCGAATTAGTACAGTCTGTATAGTTAATCAGCATCATTTAGATATAAAAACATTTCTAGTTGCCGCAAATTAACTATTATAAATTAAAATACCTCAATTTCTTGCTATCCATAATAACTTAAAAATAAATACAGAAATGGCATCACAATTTATCATAAAGAAAAATCAAGAAGAAGATATTCAAATCAATTATTTCAACACAGAAAATGTTTGCATTTATAAGACTACTGATCTTGATAGATGGTTTCAAAATAACGTTAAAGATATTATACTTAAACAAATCGAAGAATTTCAAGAAAGAGACTCAGGCTGGTCGTTAAAAACTATTGTCGGTCTCACTATTAATATAAATAAGTATAATCCATTTAAACCATGCTCGTATATACCATTACCGTCAAGCATAGATAATAAA